TTTTACAAGTAAGTTGCTAAATGTCTTAAAACTTTTTCCAAACAAAATTATAATCGTGTCCTTATCGACAGGAGCTTATTCGTCCAAGCGTCGCTGTGAGTTCCTCGAGCGTTTCACTGCATTTTCATCATGCCAAATAAAAAGAGCGAAATATGGCTGCACTTCTCCGATGAGAAAGACAAAAAAGTAAAGTGTAAGCTATGTGGTCAGCAGATATCCGTGGCAAACAAATCAACGACCAGCCTGATTCGCCATATGAATAGGCGGCATCCCTTCCAAAAAATTGCTAGGCAGGAGCATTTGGAAACAGAAGTTGACACGCAGGCAGCAGCAACGCAGGTAGAAGCACCACAGAGAGCAGCAACGCAAGTAGAATCACAACAGGCAGCAACACAGCGAAATACACCGCGAGCATCATACGCACCGCAAGGATCGGTATCACAGTACCTACACAAGCCACTTCCAGTCAAAAAGCAGCAACAAATCGATGACCAGGTAATTAAAATGATTGTCCGCGAGTACCATCCATTTAGCATCGTCGAAGACGTGGAATTTAAAAAGCTAGTATGTCTCCTAAATTCGAACTATAAACTCCCAACTAGGAAAACAGTGTCGTCCTCGTTAATACCGGCCATGTATAATGTAACCATGGAGGTGGTGAAAAGGCGGTTAGAGAGGGCGTATGCTATATGTGTGACGATGGACGGGTGGACTTCCCGTGCAGGAGATAGCTTCTTTAGTGTGACTGCCCACTACATTGTGGAAGAGGATAAAAAAACATTCCTTGCGTCGGATTTGTTAGCTTGCTCCTCATATTTAGATAGGCACACAAGTGAAAATATTACAAAAAAAATTAACGAAATTTTTTGCGAATGGGGAGTTAGTAACAAGATATGTGTTATAGTTAGTGATAATGCAGCTAATATGAAAGCAGCAGTTCGTGGGGGAGGTTGGCGGCTTTGGGGCTGCTTTGCACATTCCTTAAATTTAATGGCGCAATGTGGTTTAAAAGAAATAGAATCAGTTTTGCATAAAATAAAAGTAATTTTTAGGTTTTTTTCAAAAAGCACTTACGCTTCTTCAAAACTTAAAGCAACATTGCAGGCTATGCAGCAACCAGTTTTGAAACTTATTAATGACGTACCTACTCGTTGGAACTCAACATATGAAATGTTGAAACGCGTATTAGTTTTAAAAGATGCAGTGATTTCCACTTTAGCTTTAGTTAAGTCGTCGATGCTGGCCAGAGATGACGAATTACAAACAATAAATTTTTTAAGTAACGAAGAGTGGTTGGTAGCAGAGCAATCAATGAAAGTTTTAGAAATGTTTGAAGTTGTTACGACATTAATTAGTGTCGAAAAGCACATAAGTGCATCTCAAATCGTCTTCTTAAATTACAATTTAGGCAACAATGATTTCTAATGTTAAACACTATGTTTTTAAAACATAAAACGAATGTGCATAATGTACTGAAAACGCAAAACGAATGTACCTAATGAATTAGTAATTCATATATTTACCTACAATATAATTTTAAATATTTGTAATGTTAAACACTATGTTTTTAAAACATAAAACGAATGTGCATAATGTACTGAAAACGCAAAACGAATGTACCTAATGAATTA